AGTATAAAAGCCGCTGATTGACAAAAAGAAAAAAAAAAGTAAATCATGGTCCCCTGAATCATAATGTAGTATGAAAAATAAGTAGTAGATCGTTGAAATTAGAATTTTCCGGTTAGCAGTTTAGATGATCAACTCGAAACTTACAAATTGTGTACAATGGATAAAGGCTAATATCCCATTTGTACAGGGATAAGTTGGGGCCCTTTTCTCTCCCTTCTAATGTTTTTTTTTTTTTATTATAAAATTTATGAAGGATCTCCCTTCTAATGTTGTAGCCCAATTTTTGTTATAAGGATCTTACCAAATTAAATAAAGGGTTAAAAACAAAAAAGCCCCCTGTGATAAATCTAATACACAGAAAAACCCCCCATGGTTTCAGAATATACAACACGACCTCTCATGCTTTGAACTAAATTGTAAAGGTGACGGAATCCGTTAAACTTAACGGAAATGACATATTGGAACCTAAAAATTTTTTTTTATATCTAATTTTTATCAAATATACCTATTCTACCCCTTAACTCTCAATTCTCTCTACTTAGAAAATAAAATAAATGATTTTTTGAGCTGTTTTTTTGTTGAATTATATCAGGGTATTTTGGTCATTTTGACCATTTCCGTTAAGTTTAACGGATTCCGTCACCTTTACAATTTAGTTCAAAGTATGAGGGGTCGTGTTGTATATTTTGAAACCATGGGGGGCTTTTCTGTGTATTAGATTTATCACAGGGGGTTTTTTTGTTTTTTACCCTTAAATAAATACACAAGGAGGGTTTTGTTCAAATCAGCAAGGTTGTTACATGAGCCTGCAAATATGTTCAAGTCACGCAATCAGTGCTCCGATTTAGCATTGGTGAGATGCATCTGTAAGTAACAACATATGTTTAGTCTTACGATTTTACTCGTTAACACATCTGATGTTTATAAAAACTATCATATATATATATATATATATATATACATACTAACAATTATTATCTTTTTTTATATTTATATACTTTCTCTATTTAAACTTACATATCTTCTTTTATATTTATTTATTTTTTTAATTAATCTTATATTTATAAAAATATGATACTTAAAATATATCTTAACGACTGTCCTGCGAGCGCATGATAGACAAACCGTTAGTCTTACGGTAGGCAAAACTATTGCAGCCGCATTTTAACACAGAGGGACTTGGGAGCACATGCTCTGTAGGAGTAGTAGCTCCGTAAGGTACAAGAAAGAACATTCTCTTGGCTGCTGCCTGTGGGATTGCTTTCATCACTCAAAACAGGCAGCAAATTTGGGTATTATCCGCAATCAGTGCCCTTCTAATCCAACTCTCCTTCTAGGAGAATTAATGCTGCAGAGTCTAATAAGGGACAGTCCGATCCAAGTGGAGACAACTATTCCTAATTTTAACAAGGGACCGATACTTACACGCATCCGATAATTAGATACGGGCCAAACTTGTGAGATATTTTGCGGTAGAGGCCAGCAAAATTCTGCAGGAAAGTATGCCGAGAAATGATACCAATCATCCCTTATATTACGCATTTGTAGTATAGTCTTGTTTTTTATTTTTCGTCAGTCTCAAATTATAGTTCACTTTACAGTTGAACAATGTAGTTATCTTTTAATTTCTCTAAAATACTCTTATTCAATGTAGGTTATTATTAGTGTAAATTACCTTATTTAATATAGATTATTAACCTACCCCATTTAATACATTTAGATTTTCCAAAACATATTATTGATATATGAAAAGCCAGCTTTGTTATTCTTTCAAGCCAAAATGTAAAATAATGTAAAATGAGGATTGATTCTTTCTTGATCATTAATTCAAGTTTCTATGAATAATTCATATAAAGTTGTACTCTATTTAATGTAAGGGTATTTTAGAAAAATAGCAATATAAATTTATCGGTCCAACAAAGTTAAATACTTTTTCTTAAATTGTGTAAAAAAAAAAAAACTAGAACTATCAAAATGGGGACGGAGGAAATATTTTTTAAGTTTTTTTTTGTACTTCCTCATCAATGAGAAACGTACTATTTTGGTCCCACGACATATTTCTAATTACATTTCGGCCAGAAAAAAATGCATCTCACCATTTATGCTAGTACAAGTTTGTTGATATATCCATGAATCCATCTACTAAAGAGCAGAAATGAGAGGTGGGGAGCTGTTTATAAATGTGGAATAAACACAAATTCTCTTACTGTGTTGCGTTGGTCTTGACTCTTGACTAAGTTAATGGAGACTTTGGAAAATGCCCAAATCAGAGTTTCTTTTGAAACAAGACAATCGATCAGGCAGTTGAATTGAAGTTCAACTCAAGGGTGGGATTTACTCGACTGTTGAAGAACTTGATTGCTCAAAATTTGTCTTTGACCCGTTATACACGTCACAGATCAATTTCTGACAGTATTGAATGAAAGATAATTATGTAAAATTTGAATTTAAAATTTAATTTTTACACACATGTCATGATCAAACAGCGATAGTGTATATACAGTCAATATATATATATTAATATATATATATATGCAAGTCCTGTCATTGTTTGTATTCAACTCGTTAATTTGTTTCAGCTCTTCAAGTCATTCAATCGTATAATTGACCTGAAGAAGTCCGCCTGGCGTTCTTGAATTCATCTTGGAATTCTCATGTCAGATTTTGCACGTCTTGACCACCTTTTTTTTTTTTTTTTTTTTTTTAACAGTCTGATAGAGGCAATTGTACGCCTCAACAAGTTTTCTGCAACGCCAATACTGATAAACTGATGATGCTATATATAGTAGTGGCCAATATGTTCTTTAGAATCCAGGCATAATAATTAAAAAGTTTTTAATGGTTGAATGGATCAAAAGGGTCACCATTCCTTCCAATTATCAATAAAACCAGGTCAATGACGACTATCCAAGTAGAGAAGATTGGACCCAATCCTTCCCCCTTAGCCTTAAAAAATTCCGAAGCAGATCGATCAATTTCTAATTTCAATAATGATTTTCCTCCCAAGGCAAATGAGGAGAAAAAGACTCCATTTCTTTCAAAGATTTTTAATATAATTAAACACAAAAATAGTACATGCAGACAAGAAAGCCATCCCATCTCCTTCGAAGGGCAAATAGTAGTATGACATGCACCGGACCTGCACGCAGATAAAGACATCGTACAATCCACTCAGATTGAACCCACCAATCACAAAATGAGTGGTTCTTACTAGATTTCAGATTCCCTTTTTTCTCTTTTGTTTTTTTCGTCGGGTGCTTGCAGCAATTTGAAGTGGGGTGGGATGATTTTTTTTTTCTTCAAAAAAATATGTAAATAAATAAAGCGATTGTCATTTAAACTAATATTTTTGGTCTATTGGATGCCAAGATGCCACACACATTGTCCTGAGGATGTGCAATTGCACTCCCTCAACTTTGCAAAATTAAAAGAATATTTTTACAAATTTTTATGTTTCTATTATAGCTGCACCCCCTCAACTTTAGAATAGCTCTGTAATAAGTAAAAAAAAAAAAAAATCATTTTCTTTTTAATATCTCTCTTACAGTACAGAGTACAGACGTTTTGAAACTATTAAAAACACAAAATTGATTATTATTTGACTCCTTGTTCCCTCTCCCTGAGTCCCACATCGTCTTGTGAGGGCGTGAGTGTCTAGGATTTAAGTTCCATAAGTGTTGCCAGAAGTCAGCAATTGCCTTTTGGTTGAACTTGTGGGATTAGCTTAGGTCTTAGGAATTGATATTCTGACAAAAAGAAACAAAGACCCGAGGTGAGGTTAAAAACAGAGTGAGTGTGTGCTAGTTAGTGCTTAGTAGAAGATCCTTGTTCCCTCTCCCTGAGTCCCACATCGTCTTGTGAGGGTGCGAGTGTCTAGGATTAAGTGTTGCCAGAAGTCAACAATTGTCTTTTGGTTGAGCTTGTGGGATTAGCTTAGGTCTTAAGAATTAATATTCTGACAAAAAAAAAATTATTATTTGACTAAAGAATAGTTTTGATACTTCCAAAACACAAAATCTCAATAATAAGTGTCTTGAGTCCATGTATATCTACCCAGAACTCACGCAGAGACGACAATCAAACCAGAAAAATTTAAGAGGATGCACACCAGGCCACCATCATCTTCTTTATCTTAGTCCTTGAGTGGGTGGGAAGTGAAAGCTTTCAATAATGACATTGGCTCGAGACTGATAAAAACCGGCTAGGGATGTCTTTCTTCTTTCTACACTGTTGATGTCGGAAAACTTTACAAAAAGTTAAATAGTATATATCATAACACACATTCACTACACGTACACAATCCATTTCATATTTTATGGACGCGTCACGTCGAATGGTTGTCTTGACCAGCTACTACTGTTTACCCCCACAACATCCCGGCGTTACCCATCACTCTGCAGCTGGGATCGCGAAACAACTGTAAATTATTCTCCCAAGCACTCGTTCTCTCGAATTCTGCCTGAATCAGAATTACCGGATTAAATTACCATACGCACGTTAGAAGCTTATGGTGCCGGCGCCTTACCTTCCTTCCTATTCTTATGGTGTAGCAACAGAATAAGCTCCTGAATTGCCCGTGACTCCGGTGAATCAAACCCATTGCCTAACCACTGAATATACCAGGTCTTTACTCCGGTACTAACCGAGCATGGCCACCAAAGGAGGGACTTGGTTCCTCCCTGTGCGCAGGTCAGAGGGTTGAACCCCTGACTGACTTCTCCAAAATTTCTTGGAACATAGCCTGAAGTTATTTAGCTCCCTTTGAGCCTCTCAATAGATTCAATAGGTCCATCTACCCCCCCCCCCCCCCCCCCCCCCAAAAGTATAGGACTCTGATGTTACACAAAATTCGCCATCCCAATAAAAATAAAAAATAAAAACTCCGGTACTGCACTTTAAAGTACTAGTCTGAAAACAAATCCATTAGAAAGGGATGCAAGGCCTCATGCCTGTTGTCCTCTCCTTCAGGGAGGAGAGGGTCCAAGGGGAACGAAATTCCTCAAAACAGCCTCAAAAGATAAGGTAAGTAAAACTAGGCAGAAATAAGTTCGAAACATAAAACAAGAACTGAGTGGGGGAAAAAAACCATCAATTCAGCTTTCTAACCTGCAGGAACTTAAATAAAATACATCATGTGCTAAAGTGTATAAATGAACAAGCCTTCACTATTAACATAGCTGAAGAGAACAGACTCAATAATAATCCAGGAGTACAACATCCCATAAACCTGCCTTCCGGTGATCAAGCCCCCCTCATCTCAATTCACCAACCCAATTACATCGAGTAACCTTCAGAATCCAGGCTCCGGCTCCGATTCCAACTCCGGCTCCTTGAGCCATAAGGAGACCTTGAGTAAGACCTTTTCCTGTACCTCCGATCTCGAGGAGAAATGGACCTGTATTAGAAATTTTACGTCTCAGTATCGTACAACATCGTCATGCTTATTGATCCTGGTTTAGCCAACTTACAAGGAAACTCCCTACCTCGAATAATACCTTCGTCGAGGAGATGGTGAATAATAATCAGGAGTACGGGAATACGTCCGAGAAGAAAATGGTGATCGAGAATAACGAGGTGGTGACCGCCTCCTATCATAAGACCGACCCCTGAAACATGATTCACCACAGACAGACATTACTTTCAAAGGATCAGGAAATCAATGAAATACATCAAACCTGTACGTTCACAATGAACATAGCCTCCCTCAGCATTTGTGTATTCTTGGGCAATCATATTTACAAGATTCACCTGTAACGTTCTCTAGCCCTCATTTCTGATGGTTTTTTCCGGTTTTCCTCAGCAAACACAACAGTTAGCTCACGCCCACGAAGAACCTGGCCATCCATCTGATATTTGGCTTCAGCTGCATCAGCAGGGTCTACATATTGCACAAAACCAAAACCCCTTGGCTCCCTGCATGTTTGTGTGTCAGAGATGTGCGAAAACAAGAAGTTAACATTAATCGTTAGATTAAAATATATATTTTTGTACCAAAAACAAAACAAATTTCCATCCAGATTCATAATTATAAGAAAACACAAGTTATTTTGCTGGAACTCACCCAGCAAGAATTCAAACAAAGCAATTACATGGCTGCTAACCTCCAAGATTCAAGACTTGAACTTCTTCATAGTTTGTATTCAAACCCAACTTCCTTCATCTTCATGTATTAAGATCATCTTGAACAGAACTCTAATTACTTCATGTCTTCACCACTTTAAAAAGAAAAACCAAATTCCCTTGAAGCAATTGTCCACAAAAAAGAAAGGGCACACACCAGATGGGAAAAAGTACTTTTTCGCTATTATAATATATTCAAATACGTCAAAATTCTTATGTTCAATTCCTCTAAATAGAGTAGCTTTTGATAACTAATGCGATTCTTACCCTGTATAGTAATCACGAGGCAGATAAACGTCCTTCAAGGGACCAAATTCCCCAAATGGCCCACGAAGATCTTCAGGCCTGCAAGCACCAAAGTCTTTAGCTTTTGGAAAACAAAAGAACATTAATTTAAAGCACTAGTGCTCAGTTCACACTCCACTGAGTGTATTTAGAAGTAGGGTAGTGGGTGAGCAGTTAATATACAGAAACACCATTAAAACTATTTCTTTCAACCGTTGCTGTGAAGGAAATATCATTTTTGTACAAGGGTTAGCAATGGAAAATCATCAAATATGACTTCCTTGTGGTCCATATATGAAGAAATCAGCTCACAAAAACATAACAGCGTGACATACTTTCCAACCCATCTCTAAGAACAAATAAGTTCCACATGTTCAATCCTGTAACTAATCAAATTTTACCCAACATCTAGTAAATCTTTCACAAAGAACAGACATGGGATGCCCGCCTTCTGATTGTTAGCATCCTTAGGCCTATCTCTCCAGAAGAAGCCCAACTCTAGTCTTGTCATGAAACGACTTGAGCTAGCTTAATACTACTTTTTCCAACCAAATTCTTAAGACAAAAACAAAATGCCAACCCAAATTTGTTTTCAAATTGTTCTAAATTACTTTCTCCACTCTCGTCATCTATGAAAAACACATGAAATTAGAACAGAGCAGCACTATTATAACCAAAACTACTTTTTTCAACCAAGGTTTTCCAATCCATCTCAATTTTAGACAGTATTCCAATGACACACAATGAACATACCTACAGTCACGGCGAAGATTACGGACCAAGAGACTAGTAGGAAGATCTCTCCCACGACCTCCATAGCGACCTCTTGGGCTAGGGCTCCGATATCTCCTGCTGTAACCCCTTGGAGGGGAAGGACTGTAACTATAACTTCTACCCCTCATTTGTCAACCTGTTTTTCAATCAAGATGGGAAACATCAGTTAACACAAGCACAGTTTCACCAGTAAACAAAAGCAAAAACTTAACTAACCACACGACCATACAATTTAAAGTCTGGGTACAAAGAACTTGCATATCATGCACACAAGAACCCGCAGAGACACACATACACAACACAAAAAAAGTATGATAATCTACAAAGTAGATGAACTAAAATCATATGAGCCCTATATGATTTTCTCTTCTATTCACCATAACCTACTAGATACCATATATAAACTCAAAGAAAATGACATAAAAATGCAAAAGTTACCAGTTTTGTTGTCTTCTAGTTGCACAAAACAAACAACAGAAAAACACAACTAATAAAACATGTAGTTCCCTGAAAGAGGAAAAAAAGGCACCAAAATTATGATTGTCTGGCCGCAATTTTATTTACCTTTCACAGTTTAAGCTACAGGAATTATGAAGCCTCAATTATCATCCAAAGAATAGGAATAAACGATCTTACGAATTGTCTTAACCATCTTAATAAAGATTAACAGAATTTCAGTGGATAAAATAAAAAACAAGACAAAACAAATGAAGAATTCAAATAGCAACCTCAGCAATCTGACATAGAAAAATTAAAAAAAGAAGAAGAAGAAGAAGAAGAAGAAGCCAACAATCAGTCGGAAATCAAATCAATCAGCGGAATAAAACAAGAGCATGGATAAATGAAATCGAGGAAGAAATAGAGGATGAATATGAAAAGATCAGACGAATTACCGTCACGATCAGCCGAGATTAATCGAATTTCTGGACTACTATTCCCAATTTTATTTATTTTTTTTCTGTCCGAACTCTGAAGAAAGCTATGGTAGATGGGGGACAGGTGGGTCGGTTTTTGTGTGGTTGGAGTTTCTCGAGAAGCTTCTACAGATAGTAGCGTTGTTAATGGGCCAGATTTCTGTATATGTTTGGACTGGGCCCAGTTATTCGACTAGGTCCTTCCGAATAGGGCTGTCAACGGGCCGGAATTCATTATTCCGGACCCGGACCCGAATTACTATGCCGGATCCGGATCCGACCCGTTTACGCGACGGTCTTTTATTCTATGTTCCGGATCCGGATCCGGCGGGTCCCGGATCCGGATCCGGGTCTACCCGAACAAATTTACCAAAATTTATAATTTCTAATAAAAATGAGAAAAAAATATATTTGTAAACTAATTTCTAACTAATGCAAAGAAAAAACCAAATAAGAAAAGAAATCAAATTAACTTTATTAAAATATATCACCCTAATCAAATTATATTGATAAATATATATTTTTTAAATTATTAATTCATTTATATCCGGATCCGGGTCTAATACGGGTCGGAATATTATATTCCGTATCCGACCCGTTTTTTGTTTGACAAAACGGATCCGGATCCGGATCCGGGAAACGGAATTAAATCCCTACCTATACCCGCAATAATTTCACGGATCCGGGTCTAGACCCGACCCGTTGACAGGCCTACTTCCGAAGATGCTAGGCGCTAGCCGCTGGTGTTGTACTAGTTATTATTTAAAGGGTTAAGAACTTAACATATATTTCAATTTCAAATGTCATATTTTTTTAAAATATATTAGTATTTAAAAAAAGTAAATAAATACAAAAAAATGATAGGTAAGGTTGAATATAAAAAGTATGTAAATATAAAAAAAATAATAATTGTAATATATGTATATATATATATGGCAGATTAGATGAATTATATATATATATATTAATGAGTGTCCAATCTGCACTTGTTAAAAAAATCCTTTTTATCTATACGGAGAAAACTGCTCTTCCATCAAACCTGAAAACTCATTAGAAGAAAAAGAATAAAAAATGGAAATCTGGAGATTGATCATAGTGGCCATTAGCTTTTCTTCTCTACTAAGCCCTGCAATCTTTGCGGACAACGTCTCAATTGCACCAGCAGCAGTACCACCTGTCGATGTCTGTGCAGTGAAAAGATGTAGCCCCTACGGTCCGGTCGTAAGATTCCCATTTCTGCTACGAGGAAAGCAGCCTGAAGAGTGTGGTTACAATAATCCACGCTACAATCTTTATTGTGACAACGGGAACCATACCTTACTTGAGTTTCCTGTTGGATCCTTAATCCAACATTGGACTTATATGTGAATAATTATGTATTGTAAACTGTCAATTAAGGTTAAACCCAATTAAAGTGATCAAATATAATTTGGGTTTAATGTATCTAATAGGATGTGGGCCCTTTAATGTGTAGAAACTTATAGGCTCCTATTTCAATGATGGGCTGAAATAGGGCTCCAAAAGGTAACAGGAATGTTGCCTATAAATAGGGTTATGGTCCCCAGGTCACAGTGATCGTTTTAGTTGTCGTATTCCCTAATACCACAAAATAGCTCTTCCCTGATATCCCATCGTCAGGAGAGATACCAGAGAGAAACTAAAGGCCTCTCTCAAAGGATCGGTGAATACCTGTTGACCTGGAAGGCCACCCCAAAATTCCTAGGGATTCAAGTGTCAAATCTATCAATATGGATTCAGGTACGCTTCCGCTATTTTACAGTTAATTTATTTCTTAATAATCGCCATACAGATCTTGAGTTTAAAGGTGATGGTTTTCACCAGTGGTTAGATTTAGATAACCACCCTAACAAGTGGTATCAGAGCCCATATGGTTGATTATTAGGAAATAATTTTGTTTTAGTAATTCATAATTGTATTACTATTGGTTTGGTTTTCATGGCTACTGGCTGCGGTCTCTGATGCTAGTAAATACATTATTGTTACGTGTTCAAATCTTCGGTTGCTAGCTGATTCATTGTTTGATTATACATGAATATGATTTTGGTCGCTTTTGCCGCACAAAGAGAATTCAGTTTTGACTCTGTGGTTCTGGTCTCGGTCACGATGCCATGCTTGTACGTGATCCAGTATAAAAAAAAAAGGAATCCGTGGGTTCTGCTCCCATGTTGGATGAGTCTTCATACGGTTTTTTATGTTCATGAGTGCTTGCGTAATCAATAAGCATGAACTGCTAGTCTGATGCAATTTATGTGCTGTTGTCTTCGGTCAAATTCATGGTTAGAACTGTGATGCTTTTGGTCTTCGGTCAAATTCTCCCAACAACTCAATATGCTTTTGAGACATAAGTCTTCATACGGTTTTCAAGTTATGTTTACTTAAAACATGAATCAAGTGATGATTATGTGGGACCTACAAGATACTTGCTTTCTGGCTTCGGGAAGCAGTTCGTCCTCTTCCCCACTGTTAATAATTAAATTGATAAAGTATGATGCAATTCAGTAGTTGATTCATGTGCTCAATCTTAAATGGTCGAGAGTCTCTTAAGTAAATTATTGATATGGTGATTTGTGTCTTAAATCTTGGGTACACAACTTGCCATGTTTTACCGTGATTAGTATTTTATTTTGGCTTGCTTCCTTGATTCAGAGAATTTGCATATATGTATATGTTAAGTAAATTAAGGTTTCTTTAATTAAAGTGCACCCTAATAAAGTTAAATATGATATTTAAGCCCTATAAAATCCATATGTATGGCCCATTAAATGTGTAATTTTTATAAAGTACTTATGGATTTCAAGAAAATTTTGGACTTGGATGTTAATTTTGGGTCAAATTATGGATATGGACCTTTGGTCCAATAAGTCATGATTTAATTTAATTAATTTGACCATGTTTGACCACGTTTTGACCAAAGTTGACTTTGATCAAAATTTTTGTTTAATTTGTATACTTTTAAATTTGAATATTGGTATGATTATATATATATTTTGGAATAAATTAATTAAAATAATATGCCACCAAAGTGACCTCTATTATGAAAATTAATTTATTTTAGAATATAACTAGTTGAGTACTTGTAATTTTATGAATATTGATCGACCCAAAGGAAGGTCCATATTTAATAAAATTACATGTGCACTTGTGGTAATAAATACGTGATAATTATTTGAATTTTACATGTGATTTATAAATTAACCCAAAGGAAAATTTATTTTTCGACATGTTATTATTATTAGTATTTATTACTGCACCAAGATATCACTTCGAAGTTAATATTTTTTGTCCAAAGACAAAATATTAATGGAATATCGGTATCTTGAGATGAGACTACAATTTTTTGAATTTATTATTGTTTTGATTTATGTGAACTTGTTTTAATTATATTATGTTTTCTGTTCAGTTGCAAATGATCTTACAAATATTACTTCCAACATCAATAATATTCCTATGCTGAATGGTACAAATTTCAAGTCCTGGAAAGAAAATCTCTTGATAGTACTTGGAGTAATGGATCTCGACCTTGCGTTAAGGATTGATTCTCCCCCACCTCTTACAGACCAGAGTACCTCTGATGAAAAGAAAAATAATGAGAGGTGGGAGAAATCAAATCGCTTGTGTTTGATGATCATTAAAAAGGCCGTTTCAGAAGCATTCAGAGGAACAATGTCAGAAACAACTGTAACCGCTAAAGAGTTCCTTCAGGACATTGAAAAAAGGTTTGTCAAGAATGAAAAGGCTGAAATTAGTACGCTCTTGACACGCCTAGTTTCAATGAAATATAGTGGTAAAGGCAATATCAGATAGTACATCATGGAAATGTCTCATCTTGCTTCGAAATTAAATGCACTTAAGTTGAAACTCTCTGAAGAGTTACTAGTGCATTTGATTATAATATCTCTTCCTACACAGTTTAGCCAGTTTAAGGTGAGTTACAACTGTCAAAAGGAGATTTGGTCTCTAAATGAACTCATCTCACACTGTGTAGAGGAAGAGGAAAGGTTGAAGCAAAACCATAGCTTAAATAACTGAACCATAAGAAAGAAGGAACCAGAAGAAACACTACTCCGTCTTCATGATTATTTGATTCGTCTTTGAGTTAGACCATTGGGCATTCAACTCCAATTATCCAGGCAGGCAGCATCTAGGAAATGTCTTATTGGGCCCATTGATAAAAAGGAAAGACACAGTTTAAAGAAACCTACAATTTGGCCAGTAACACCAACAAGGCTATATAAGACCATACTGCTCATTGTCTGCTCATATATATATTACACATTGGAGCTCAGTGGATACAAATGAGTTTACATATGATGCATCTCTGAAGGTGCTAACTTTCAGTTTTACTGGGGTACCAAATGAGTTTTCAATTTGCCTTTTCAACTGGTACTAGGTGGCAGATTTAAGAGTTTGAAAAACAAATCTGAAATACAAAGCTTCCACTAAAAGTTAGGAGTACTTCTTAGTCATCCATCTGCTCTATTTCTAAAGCAATAGAGCTACACAGCGTTGCTGTTGACTCATCAGAAGAGCTAATATTACTGCTTCCTTGCATGGATATGGGTGAATCCGGAGGGTAAAACAACGGTCTGTGGGGCAACTTTAGGCCACTAAGATCACCTTCAAGCATTTCTAAGACTTCTCGCATTGAAGGACGATCCTTAGGTGTCATTTGTGTGCACCATAATGCAATCAAAATCAATCTTCTACTAATTGATTTTTCTTCTTCAGTTGCATGATCTCGAATTTCCAATTCCTCCCCTCGATCAAATTTATTGTATATCCAGGACGGGAAGTATATATGACTTGAATGTTCTACATGTCCATTACCATTTCTTCTCCTTCCTGCCATCTCCATTAGCAACATTCCATAGCTGCAAACGTCTGCCTTGTCTGAGACTCTTCAAATATTTTTGTAGAACAATTCCGGAGCCATGTAACCTAATGTTCCTCTGACAACTGTAAGACTTGAAACACTCTTTTGCATCGAGTAAAGTTTTGCGAGTCCAAAGTCTGCAACTTTTGGAACAAAATTCTCATCAAGTAAGATGTTATGCGGCTTAATATCAAAATGCAGAATTTGCATATTGCACCCCTGATGCAAGTATTCAATCCCACGAGCAACTCCTTTTGCAATCTCACAAGTTTGCTTCCAACTCAATGGATGACCATTTTGACTATTTGAGAAAATTAACTTATCCAGAGAGCCATTCGGCATGTAATCATATACTAGGGCATGTTTCGAGGGAGCAACACAAAATCCTACCAACCGAACCACGTTCACATGGTGAATTTGTCCAATAGTTGTGACTTCATTAATGAATTCTTGCCCATCAGCTTTTGATTTGTTCAGCATCTTGACAGCAACTACATCTCCACTCCGCATTTTTCCTTTGTAAACCAAACCATAGCCTCCTTCACCTAATTTCTCCTTAAAGTTGTTGGTCATTGCCCTTATGTGTTTGTATGAATACCTAATGGGTATGAGGCCGTTGTTTGTTTGTAGGAAATCTTCTATTGTATCATACCTCGATAAATGCCTCCGATGACACCTATAAAGGAGAAAAGCACACAAGAGGGCAATGCCAATGACACTTTTTGCTGCAATGAGCAGAACTGAAATAGAAGAAGAAAGCAACATTTATCAGTGATTTACTCTGTATCATACACCCAATAGTGAGATATCAACTATAAATCAAATGCCTTACCAAAAAATTTGACAGCAAAACCCACGCTAGCTGCTTATTACAAAAATTCAAAGGATTATTAAGGAAAAATTGAAACGGAAAGGATGAGACTGACTGAAAAAATCATTTCTCACTTCCAAACTTGACATGATTGTAGAGTGGTGCTACCAGAAGACCTGCATTGTCCAGGAACAAAGATCAAGATTAATGTCCAACTGCATGCTTGAAATTCAACTTTTAAATTATGGTTCGAAGACTCGGCCGAGACCGAGACGTCTCGGCCGAGTCGTCTCCGTCTCGGCTTAGCCCGAGACGAGACCGCGACGAAACATTTCTGAGATACGTGACAGGCCGAGACATCACCGTGAAGGGTTGAAACGGTCGAGTCACACCGAGTCATCCCGAGTCAACTGGAATTTTTATTATTTTTACTAATTTTTAATTATTTTTAATTATCATATTTTTACAATTTTTAGAATATTAAATATTTCAAAAATTCACGTCTCGTCGAGACCGTGACCGATATGCCGAGATCGATGTGGAACGGTCCAAGCCGCGACCGGGACCGCGACTTTGAACCATGCTTTTAATAGAGCTTCAAATGCTTGAAGAAAAAATTCAATGCACATTAATCAATTGTACAAGTATCAAATCGAGAGGAGAATCTTAGAGATCCAAAATTTACACCTTCACAATCTAAATCAACACAGTCAATGCATTTATCAAGTGCACTATGACAGTAAGACTTGGATAAAGTGAGAAAGCTAGAGAAGTTTGGATTTGGATTTTGAGATCAACAGCAGAACTACAATACTCAGCCTACAAATATACCACTCCATTTCTTAACTTAAAATCTTTCAAGATACGGTAACTTGTCATTAAATTCCCAAAAACATAGTTTCATTCAGTAGAATTTAATACTTTCTAAGAGATCATCGTAACCAATTATCAATCGCCGAAATGGGCAACCTTCAGCCTTTTTTTTTCTTTTTTGAGGGAACCCAATCTAAACTTGACTGCTTGTGTCATTTTTCTTATTTCCAGTCTATTCTTTTTGTTGAAATACACACCATTGTCAATTGAAACAATTCAGATCGCAGGTCCAACTTTGGACTTTTCTTACTTGTAAGGCACTCTAATCTAGAATTTAGCACTGAAGTCGTTGCTATTATTATTATTATTATTATTATTATTATTATTGACATAATCAAGTTGTTATTCTTTGTTATTTTTTTGGGTCAACTCCTTTTGTTGTTATTTTTTTATTTTAAAAAAAAAGAAAATTGTCCCCCTATTACCTCCATTTGTTTTGTTAGGTAAGGTATTCATTTTATTGATATAGCAAAAACAGAGCTTATTATGAGAAGTAGCAAAAGGCCAAACCAGCAACACCGTCCAAAGTACACTAATTACAAACAACACCCGTCCAACAGCCGCCCAAGGTCACCAACTAAACAAGCAGAATACTCATGGTAAGAATGTAAGATCAAAATTCCATGCTATACTTTGTTAGTTTAATCTTCTTCCAAGAAGCTACCACTGCTCTAACCTCAGTGCTGATGGGCTGCAACATGATAGGAGTAGCTTTTCTTCCTTAGTGAAAATTCTCTTGTATTTCTCTTCCCATATATGATAGGCACAAAATGCAAGAGACGACCTGACTATTTAATCAAGAAAATTTTTCTAACACAATAATAAAATCTGAGCCAAGACGGTTTAATATTCAAAGCATATGCTCCTCTGTATGGCAAATTCGAACTCTGCACACTTCTCTCCAAATATTTGCAGCATAAGTGTAATACTCATGACCACGTTAACTTTATTTCATGGGTTAATTAGTGAAGGTTATATAATCTTGGAGGTTTATGTGATTAAGTTTAGAAGTTGGGGGACTAATTAATAATTTGAGCAAGTTTTTATATTGGAAGAATTTTGAGTTGGACCTCACTTTACTCTTTCGAACCCTTCCTACTATTTCTCTCCAAAATATCTCTTTAGCCCTTCTCCTGATCAAGGTGAAAGCTTCGCAAATCAAAGAGTTAAAACAAATGAGATGCTTGGTTTTTTTTTTTTTTTTTTAAGTGTAAGTTAGGTGTAAGTGTTAGTCCTCCCTAATACCATCCAATCCATCTCTCCTCTCAAGTAGTTGGATTTTCATTTTTAACTTCTTTAATAGGCCTTTTGCCTATTTGTCATTTTGTTGGCTAATTTAGTGGAACTATGTGGTGATTTTAGAAATTTTGCGAGGAAATGGTCAGTTGATGAAATACTATGATTTTTGTCTAAGCTTATTTTATACTTGGCCTCTTAATCAAAAGTGAGAAGGGAAAACGAACGAAAATCTTGAAGTTTGGATGAATTCTTATCAGTAGTTTGAGATGGTGGCTTTAAATTATTGAATATGCAAGTCCTAGAGTCTGGAGCTCGGTGCTGGGCTCAATCCAGTGTCAGGCCGGTTCGTTCCTAATTCCCATTTCTTCATTTCCCTGTTTTTGGTCCGAAAATATTTCTTGTGCTCTTGTTAGTAATTGAAATGTTGATAATTTGCTCCATTATTAAGAATTAGAAATTAAATTAGGCTCTCGCTTTCATGGGTACTGATTCATTTTCACTAAGATAAGTAGTTTTAGTACTCTCTAATGAATAAAACAGTTTTGAATGCCTATGTTAATATGAAATTCAGCACGAATAGAGATACTTATAATTCCTTTGACTCATGAACTAATATGATAAGAATGTATATAAGTATTTATGGAATCTGGATGCCACATCTGTTTCGCACTTTGAGCTCGTGATTTCTTGTTGACTGTCATTAAAACTAATTAGTTCTATATTTTTGTCTGTCTGACCTACCTAGCGGGACAATGGTGCCTTCAAGCCAAGAAGTGCTTGCCTAGCTGCAAGGTAGCAAAATGTCACAATCAAAAGGTACTTAGTGAGGGCAACAACTGCTTAATGTCCTTTGTTCCTAAGACATTTGTTTTAGGAGTACTCCTACACCCTTTCATTTGCAAGCCTAATATGTCATCTCTTTCTCTAAGATCAAAACTTTTAAAAATGTTGTATTCGTGCAACACATATCAAGAAAGCTTGTCAGAACAACTGAAGTTTAGATCCTTTTAGAACAGTTTATCATTACAACACAAGTAGCTTCCTATCCCCAACAACTCCAGTTTCTTCTCTAAAGCTTAGGCACAATGACTGACTTTTTGTAATCAAATCATATGAACACTGAGACAATAATAGTAGCAATCAATAACAGTTAACCTATCCATAATTCAAAAGAAGGTGCCAATGGTTGTTACTTAGGCCCTGTTTGATAATCTCATTCAGTACTGAAATTTAATGGATTCAGATCTTAACATGTTCAAACGCGTTTAATAACAAAAAATTGAACATTTGAATTAATTAAATGACACTGAATTTTCTAAGCAAAATTTGCTCCTAAAATTAAGTGATAAGTTATTCACTTATCACTGAATATGATAATACTCAAATGTACTAGATTTAATACTTAACAATTTAATAATTTAATAAATTCAAATTTTAGTTTTCAGACTTCAATTTTATCAAACGCACCCTTAATGTCGTAATGCTTCTTAAGAACTTGAATTCTTCAACACAAGACAAAACCTCAACTTAAATAACTGAACCATAAAGAGGGAACACTAGTTCTCTTTCTTCGTAAGTATTTGAAAAGTATATCAGCTAGACCGTGGAGTATTCGCCTTCAATTACTCAGGCAGGCGGTATCCAGGAAATGTCATATTCTGCACGTTGATGAAAAGGAACTGACATGTTTCAAAGGAAAAATCCAAGGATAAAGAAAAAGGCCTATAGGCTACGTTAAACTAACAATTTGACTAGTAACAGCAACACTACTAGAAAAGATTGATCTTATGAATTTGGAGGAAATATTTAGATATACTCCCCGCTGTTTTAGATAACATAATAGTTTAAGAAAAAAAAATATGTATTGGAGCTCAATTGTAGAAATTATTAAGTTAAACTCAAAGATTGATACCGGTATTACTATTATATATGAAGCTTATATCAAGGTGCTACCCTTCAGTTTATTGATACCAAACTGATATTTCAGTTTGCCATGTTATCTGGTACTAGGTGGCATATTTAAGAGTTTGAAAGACAAATCCAAATCCACTAGACAAAGATTTCACTGAAAGCACGAGTTCTACTTAGTTATCCATCTGCTCTATTTCTATAGCAATCCATCTGCTCTATTTCTATAGCAACAAAGCTACACAGGGGCGCCGTTGACTCGTCAGAAGAACAACTATTACTGCTTCTTTGCATGGATATGGGTGAATCTGGAGGGTAAAACGACGGTTTAGGAGGCAACTTTAGGTCACTAGCATCACCTTCAAGCATATCTAAGACTTCTCTCATTGAAGGACGATCTTCAGGTGTCATTTGTATGCACCACAATGCAATCAAAATCAATTTTCGTGTCATTGTCTTTTCTTCTTCAGTTGCATGATCTCCGATTTCCATTTCCTCCACTTGATCGAATTTGTCATATATCCATGAAAGGAAGTATATTTGACTTGAATGCTCAGCGTGCGCATCCACATTTCTCCTCCTTCCTGCCATCTCCATTAGTAACATTCCATAGCTGTAAACAGCTGTCTTGTGTGAGACTCTTCCAATTCTTTTGTAGAACAACTCCGGGGCCATGTAACCTAATGTTCCTCTCACAGCAGTAAGAGTTGCAATACTCTTTTTCATCGGGTAAAGTTTTGCAAGTCCAAAGTCTGAAACTTTTGGAACAAAGTTCTCATCGAGTAAGACGTTATGCGGTTTAATATCAAAATGCAGAATTTGCATATCACACCCCTGATGCAAGTATTCAATGCCACGAGCAATCCCGTTTGCAATCTCACAAACTTGTTTCCAACTCAATGGAGAACTATTTTGACAGTTTGAGAAAATTAAC